GCTCCTTTAATAGATTAAAGTGTGTCCGCTGAAAGTTCTTGTTTTTGTCACTGACGGGGCTCTGATTGTTATTCTGAGCGTGTGGCAACATTTACCAGTCAGGTGAAATGACAGATTTTGTCACTGGAGTCTGATGCGTTTCCCTCTTCCACAAATGTTAGTGACAAAACAAGAACTAGTATACTGGATGCATTTTGATCTGGTTCTATTTCAACTCCGTTCATTACATCCTCAATCAATCAATCCTTATTTGTAAAGAGCCAATTCATGAAAAGTGTTATCATGAGGCGCTTTACAAAAGAGCACATGGGATAATATGCAGGAAGGATTTCTCCTTTGTATTCTTCTCGTTCCTGTTGTTCACACTTCCTCTCCGCTGAGGTGGAGGTCAGAGCAGGCCGTGCATGACTGAGGTGGTTGGTGGTTGTGGGGACAACACAGTCGGATGGTGGGGGCTGGGCGTCAGGCGGTGATTGGTCCTCCACAGACCTGCTGTTGTGCTTGCTTTGCTGAGTCATGTTAACATGTTTCCTCGTGTTTTCAGCTAACCGTCCAGAAGCTCCTCGTCCGGTCAGGAAGACTGATGAAGATCATCTCTGCGCCATGTTTTTCTCAGTCCCCTAGTTCTCAACCCCCGCCCCCTAAAAAAAACCTTTATACTGTCTCCCGTATGGTCCCTCAGTCCTGTTTGTTCGTCGCACTTTGTCAACATGTCTCATAAACGTGCTTATTTATCAGTCAGTTTAATTCTAGCTCCTGTTATTGTGTCACTTCTTGTTCTGTACTCGTGTTAATAAAGGAAGGAAGAACTGCTTCACTTCATGCGTCTGTGCTTTGTTTTTTTTAACAAATGTTGACTTTACTGCAATAATGTGTTCTACAGGCTGTATCAGAGTTTAAGTGATTGTATCAGGCTACTTCCCACCTGGTTTGATTGTTATCAGGTTATTTAACAGGTGCTATTTCTCCACACATCCGTAACTATTTTTGACGGACAGCTCAGAAGGCCTTTTATTCTTTGCCAATTGCTTTCATTTGACCATTTTACACAAAGATCATGGCTGCTGTTACTTAAATATTACATATTGTCTTCCTCTTCAACCAGTTTCATCAAATTAAAGAACATTAATAAAACTAAGATTTTGCAAAAGTTAAGGTTAAATTTCCACTTACGGTCTAATGCCGTCACCTGCAGATTAATTTATTTTTATTCATAATTTGTCTCACCCTAACTTTCAGTCAACCTAACGACAGGCTGAGAGCTGGAGCTGAGGCAGGTTTTAAGCCTCCTGACAAACCGTTACACCGCGCCAGGTCAGCTACACACCTTATTGTGAATATATCCCTATACAGTCTAGAATAGAATTTAAAATCCTTCTTCTCACTTACAAAGCTCTAAATGGCCAGGCACCATCTTATCTTAAGGAGCAACTAGTGCCGTACTGCCCCTCGAGAACATTGCAGTCCTGGAGTGCGGGCCTGCTGGTGGTACCTACAGTCTCTCAGTGTACTATGGGGGGTAAAGCCTTCAGTTATCAGGCTCCTCTCCTTTGGAATCATCTTCCAGCCGGGGTCCAGGAGGCAGACACACACTGTATTTTTAAGAGTAGACTTAAAACTTTCCTTTTTGATAAATCTTATAGTCTAGCCCTCTTCCTGCATCTTATCCCATCTCTCCCCCTATCCCTTTCCAACCCCGGCGCAGTCTAGGCCTGTGAAGGCTGTTTCGTCATGAGCCGGGGATCCGGCCTGAAGATTTCTGCCTTTTAATAAGGCAGTTTTTTCTTACCACTGTAACTTTTGCTGCTTTGCTAAAGTGCTCATGATGGACAGGCTGGATCTTTGTAATATAGCAATAAGTAAGGTCTGTACCTGCTTTTTGTAACATAACAATGAGTAAGGTCTTTTACCTGCTTTTTGTAAAGTGTCTTGAGATAACACTTGTTATGAGTTGACGCTATACAAATAAAATTGAATTGAATTGAATTGAATAACTCTTATCCTTCATCAAATCAAAACAGATGAGTCATCAAAAAATACAGTGTGTGCCGATGGAGATATGAGCTAATCAGACCTATTTGTTTTTTTTAACAAGGCTGTAAACATGTTCATCTCTGTTGTAAAAACAATGTGACTCATCGTGCTTCAGCAGCCAGCCTCTAGTGGACACTCGAGGAACTGCAGGATTTTGCACTTCATCATCGGCTTCATTTTTCAACACTGGTGATTCCTATTAGCCAACTGATTAGTGCTTATTGCCCCCTGGTGTTTACAAAGGAAATCAAAAAATAAAGAATAAAAGCGGATTTAATATCTCCTACAGATATCACATTTAAAGGTACAATCACTTTTTTATTTGAACTAAATGTTAAGTTTTCTATAATGCTGCATGTTTAAAATAACGTTTTATTTACGAAGAATTAAATCTGAGTAAAAGCAAAAGAAACCTGAGCTTGTGTTTCTCACTGTCGTCCACCTGGTGGCGGTGTGGCGCCTATTGGCTTTTTAGACGGAAGAGGGAAAAAACAACGAAGAAGAACAAGAAGGAGGAAGAAGGTGGGTGAAGAAAAGGTCAGCCATCTTCGTGAGGTCGAAACCTGCGGCATAGTGGTAATATTTTGATATTTATGTTTCTATTTATCACCACTGAGTCTTGTGTTGTTGTAATGAGTTTATACTTTAACCGAAAGAGTTGATTATTATTAACCCATGTCCTTAATGGGTTAGCTCCACGGTAGCTTCCGGTTAGCATGCTTTATGACCTAAATGATCAAAGTGCCAAAGTTGAAAGATAAGTCAGCTGCTGCATGTCGACAACGTGTTCACTGTTTCACTGAAAGGTCGCAAACTAATTAATGTAATAAGATGAACTGACGGTGGTTTTTAAATCAGGTTAGTCGACTAAACTGTTATTTTGGGATGTAAACAAACATCTGTCTGCAGGAACAGCTGATCACCGGAGGAGTGTGTTATGTTATTGTCCTTTTTGAATATCTTCTGCGCTGCTCAGTGTTTACTTTCATGACTCAGAGATATGTGAACGTTTTTCTCTTCACCGTTCAAACTTTATTGATAAAGTCAGCAGCAACTTAACAAAGAAACAGCGCCCTCTAGAGGTCAAACACAAACATCAGGAGATTTGAACGTAACAAACAGGGAAAGGTTTGATGTCAAGATAATGAGAAGCTGTATGATGTTTTACTTACTCTCCCTCTCTCTCTCTCTCTCTCTCTCCTCCTCTCTCTCTCTCTCTCTCTCTCTCTCTCCTTATCTCTCCCTCCCTCACCCTCTCTCTCTCCCTCTCACTCTCTCTCTTCTCTCTCCCTCTCTCTCTCCCTCTCTCTCGCTCTCCCCTCTCTCTCTCTCTCTCCCTCTCTCCCTCTCCCTCCCTCTCTCTCTCCTTCCCTCTCTCTCTCACTCTCTCCCTCCCTCTCTCTCACTCTCCCTCTCTCTCTCACTCTCCCTCTCTCTCTCTCTCTCTCTCTCTCTCTCTGTCTCTCTCCCTCTCTCTCTCGTCTCTCTCCCTCTCTCTCCCTCTTTCCTCTCTCTCTCTCCCTCTCTCCCTCTTTCCTCTCTCTCTCTCCCTCTCTCCCTCTCTCTCCCTCCCTCTCCCTCTCTGTCCCTCTCACTTTCTCTCTCCCTCTCTCTCTCCCTCTCACTCTCTCTCTCCCTCTCTCTCACTCTCCCTCTCTCTCTCTCCCTCTCTCCCTCTCTCTCAGATGCCCCGACACTGCTCAGCTGGTGGCTGCAAATCTCGGGACAACCGTGAGAGTCGTAATGCAGGAATCACCTTCCACAAGTGAGCATGAAACTCAGTTTATACCCGTCAGAGTAGCTGTTCATTTCTGTCGCTCTGTCAGTCATTGTATTTCATATTTAAAATGATTGATCGTCGCGTTGTCTGCGCTGCATCACCTAGTTGGCAGATCAAATTGTTTATATGGGATATACCGAGCTGCTGATTTTAAGTGATGAGGTCTTCAATCGGCCTGCAAAATACAGTTAACATATGTGATGTTCACAGGGTTTTTAGTCTGTCTGCTGCTCTTCACGTTTTACCCATCTGAAACCACAATAAATAAAAAAATACACATTTGTAGCCCTAAAGTGTGACTGGTAACTAGCTTTAGTTTTAATCCGACTGCATCAGGATGGTGTGAAAGCCTGGAGCCGCCATGTTGTAATAATTTGTCGTTGTGTCAACAGATTGCCTAAAGGACCAACGAGGAGGAACCTTTGGATCACAAACTCCCGTCGTGCGGACTCCTGGGACCCTCAGAGTGACTTTGTCTACTTTTGTTCCCAACATTTCACCCAGGAGAGCTTTGAGCTGACCGGATACAGGTAAGTGAACACTGATAGGTCATGAATATATCGAATCTCTGGGCGCTGATGTCTGGATATCAGCGTGTTTAAAGTGTGCAAGACCTTTTATTTTCCTTCTCAGTGGGATCAGGAGACTGAGAGAAGACGCTTTACCTACAGTGTTTGATTTTTCGACAACAACCAAATCCAAGAGAGCGGGGAGGCTGCAGAAACGAGAAGACCCTCCTGTCAGGTAAACACACCTGATCCCCAGATCAGAAGCCTCTCTGTGCGACTCTCAGGATACCTGTTCTGACAGTCATAGAAATACCGAACATACCTTTGAACATCTCCTGAAAAGTTCCAGACATTTCCAGAGGGAACTTCAGGGGAAGTGGATGTTTGAATGCAGCCCCTTCCGGTCTGATATAAAATCCCCCGCTGTGCGAGAACTCATGTAAATGGCTTTAACCTACGGAACAACTGACCAGTCTTATGTCATCATGACGTAAGTACAGAGGCGTGGCTGGTCCTAGAGCAATCAGAGTGCTGGCCAACGGGGGACAATCTTGTGCCTTTAGAAAGAAGCCAGTTAACGTGATTTAATGTCAGCCTGACAGCCAGTGCTCTTAAAACTCTGCTAAACTCAAATCTTACAGGGGAAACGCGAGACAAAGTACAATCACTGTCCTGAAACCAAACAAATGTGTTTGTCCTTTCATTTGTTGTTTTTTCATCTCCGTGTCCGATCATGACCATGAGGGGGAAGAACAAATACAAGAGATCCCTTTTCACTTTCTCTTTTGTTCTGCAGGAAGAGTCCACACCTAGCATACCAGGAGAATGATGAGAGCCTCCCTTCAGATGAACCCACAGGTGAGAGCTCAGCGGCAGCACCTGGAGAGACTCCTGAAGACACACCTGCACCTCCTCCGGAGTCTTCAGAGGTGGAGCCGCTCCCACAGGACGAACACAGCCCTCCTCCACCAGAACCGGAGCCTCGGCCCGTCTCCCCGTCACGCTACATGAGACGCCTGCCCCCTCCTCCGGGCTTCTACCTGTCCAAGGAGCACAGCTACGCTCAGCTCTGCCCCCTGCTGTGGAGGAGGCGCTACGACCAGGCCATCGACTGTCTGGAGAAGACTCTGCGACAGCTGCACGCGGCCCGGCGGAGGGAGAGCCGCCTGAGGAGCACCATGCTCAGGCTGAGAGATAAACGGCTGAAACAGGCCCTGCTGGTGTCCAGGGACGTTTGTAAAGACCGCAGGGGTCCAGGGGAGGAGAGGAGACGAGGAAGAGGAGGAGGTAACCTGGAGGAAACTGAGAACGATGCTAAAGGTGAGGATACCGGTGTGTTTGAGGACAGAGGAGTGGATCAGATGGAGTTTGGAGGTCGTTTTCTTCAGGACACAAACAGCTGGTGTGAGGAGGAGGAGAGGGGCAGTGTTTTTACTGTGGACGAGGACAGGACAGGACGCAGGATGTGTCTCACAGAGCAGAGAAGAGGGGCAGCCCACAGAGCATGAGGACTCGCACAGAAATGACGAAACGGATCTTCATTGCACAGCTGAAAAGGTTAAAAACCCCCAAATAGACATGTTGGTGAATTCCCCGGGGAGGAGTTTAGAAAGCAATTCTTCAGACACAGACTCCACAATCCTGCTGCAAACTCAAACTCTGCAACATGTGTCTGACGTCCATGAGCAGTTTTTAGGCCCTCAGCAGAAGTTTCTGCTCTCTGACGGGGACACTGTGGCTCAGCAGCTCTTTTGGATCCAGGACTGTGCTGAGGGTTCGGTGGTTCTGGTTCCCGTCCCGGCTGAGGACGGAGCACAGCGTGTTCTAAAGAAAGCAGGGGCTCTGACATTTCACAAACTGTTCTCGTGTCAGAGGTGGACCTTAAGGGAGACTTTGGGAACCTGACGGAGAGCAGCGCGGGTGTGCGCGCTGACGGAGAGCTCAGTGAGCAGTCCGTCATTAACCTGAAGGAGGATGTGAGGGAGAAACTGAAAGAACACCTGGAGGGTTTCACCTGCAGCTCAGCACAGAGTTTCTAACATGAACACAACAGAGACATCTTTATTCTGCAGACTCAATAATAACAGCAGCTCATTTAATTAAAGAACAGTTTATTTGTCTGTCTTTTATGTGTTTGTGGACCTTAAAGGCAGGGTTGGTCATTTTCAAAAACATTCCCTCTGTGCTTCCTCAAAAGCCACGCCCCTCACTTACGTGCACTTTGAGTGTCTGCTTGTGCACGCATTGGTTGAAGTTTTTACAGGCTTACAAACTGCTACAGATGATGGATTTTCTTCGTTTCCCGTTTCAGAGAACATGAGTTATTATCGTCTGTCAGGACCTGAAGACCATTTCAACCAAAATCTTAAAAAGTGTATCTGGAGAAAATGACCAACCCTGCTTTTACTATAGCAGGATGTAAGAATAAACTCTGCAGTGGGCAGATATGACCCAGCTGTTGGAGAGCTTCAGCTTTTTTTATGAAGGTTTAAAGGAACATGAAGTCACTTAGAAAAGGTGTTGATGAAAGAATGATTAATGGAGGGCAAACAGAGAAATGTGAAAAAGGTTTTGAGTGTATCAGAGCCATGAAGCTCAATCTTTGTCCACTGACTTTAACACCACCACCATGTTAATCAGCCTCGCACTGTTTTACACAAATTACTCAATAAAATATTTAATTTGCTACAAATCAGAAAGTGAAGATGTTGAGATTATTTTTTTAACCTGTTTTTTTGTCACAAATAAAACATTGCTCATTCTATACTTGACGTTTTGCTGCTTTATCATTTTGTAGTGCTGTCCGAGTTAATGAGCATCATCATACCCTACAGTGTCGACTCATTGTATCCCACAATGCATTGCAAAAACTAGTGTTCAAATAATGGTCGCTAACTGAGCAAAACACCAAAAATGTTTTGCAGTGCAAAGCTTTGACGAGCGGGAATGGTAAATGGACTTGAGCTTGTATCATTCTTTTCTAGTCTTCTGACTCCTCAAAGCGCTTTTACACCGCAGGTCACACCTACATTTACACGCCGCAGACAAAGCAGAGGGAGCAAATTGGGGTTAAGTGTCTTGCCCAAGGACACATCAGACGTGTGGCTGCAGGAGCTGGGGATCGACTTGAGAGGGACTACGCTTTGTAGTCTAATTCAGGGGTTCTCAACTTGTGGGTCAGGACCCAGAAGTGGTTCGCAGAGCCATTTGCAGTGGGTCATGAAAATGTGTGTGAAAAAAAAGTCTTTGAAGCTCTTTAAAAAAATATCTATTTTTTTCTGTCAGGTTTGCGCGCTCCGGGGTGCAGGCTGCACTACTTGTCTCTAAATAAATCTTGGTGGTTAAAATATCTGAAATATTTTTTGTTATTTCTCATTAAGGAGGCGGTGATGGGTCCTGAGGCTCCTCAAGTCAGCGGACCACTGGTCTGTCATGGCTGTAATGTAATCCTTATGGGCACTCTTATGTCCAAATATGGGCACTTCTGGTTTAAAGAAAAGCAGGTTGGCGACGACGACCGAAATGCTGAACTGAAGCTACATCATGATCGTCCAATAGGTGGCGTTACAGCGACTTCTACAATTTGTCATTTACAATCTGTTGTTGTAAGAACTGCTTTTATTGTAAGAGGCATTATGGGAAATGTAGTAGTACTAAAGTCAGGCTTTCTGATCCTCCTGCACAGATTTTGATGATTCTGTTTTTAATTTGTATTTTGTGAGTCTCGCCCATTCACAACCACAAACTCTATGGACGTTAAAACAGCTGAAATCCACCTTTAATTTAAAGTTGATATTTAATATTTAAGATACATGAACAGTCGACCTGGCTGGTACTTGAAAATCCTCGTCTTGTTTCTGTCGGTGTTGTTACAGGAGGCTGCTGATGTGTAACATGATGGGAATGTTTGCTGACAGTTCAGTGTGTGGGATGTGTTTGTGCATTCATTGTGTTGCTCATGTTTCTGTGTGCAGTTTAATGCAGAGCATCTGGGATCCGTTCAGTTCTGTGTCACTCAGGATGAATCAGGGAACAATCCTCTATGGCGTCTCTGATTGGGTGTGGCATCAACGCTTCCCGGTTCCAGACTTATGACCTGTTGAAGAAGGGAGGGAGTGAGGGGAGGGGTGGGGGGAGGGGGGAAGGGATTTGTAAGCATGTAAATAATTGAAATCATATATTCGGACACGCCCTCACTGCTCTCTATCTCTCCCAGCCTGGAAACACTCCTCTCAGTCCCGGGCCGAGGAGCTGCCTTCAATTCTTGTGCTTTTTTTTTTTTTTTCAGAGTTAGATTTTTGTGGTTCAGCTTTCCCCTCGTCTCTACACCCACCCCATCGACTGTCTGAAGTCATAAAACCGGATAGAAGGAATGTGGTCGTGCCTGTTTCCTTCTCCCTCTCTCCCTCTCTCTCTCTCTCTCTCTCTCTCTCTCTCTACCTCTACCACTCCTTTTTTTAATTTAAAAACTCTTTTCCAACAACACAACTTCAGGGCATTTCCCACAGTCTGAGCGTCTTACTTGAAACAAAGTCTGGACTGATTTGCATATAAAAGCTGCAGCGTGAACACTGTCCATGGTGACACAGTAAAGGGGCATTCTGGTGTTTTTAATCAATGGCCCTTTTTCTAAATATTTTCGGTAAAGTGAGTAATAATGGGTAGAAAAAGTTTTAGAATCTCTCCGTTAGTATCTTCATCCTGCAGCAGTGACACAGCTTGAAATGGTTGCAACATCATCCGCGATGGATGAAAGTGCGTCCACTAAAAGTTCTTGTTTTCGTCACTTGCAGACTCCGATATGTCTGACATCATTACAGAAAGGATCCCTACAGAGACAGACCTTTTTTCTTTGAGCGGCAGATTATTTTTATAACCATAAACATCTGTTGCATCACTCTCTTCAAAGACACCAGACCCCAAAAACATCAAGACATTACGAACACAGGAGCTGCTAATCAGACCTATTTTGTTTTTTTGCACCAGGCTGGAAACATGTTACCATAATCTCTGCTGTAAAAACAGACTTTTTTTTGTGACTTCCTGTGCTTCTGCAGCCAGCCTCTAGTGGACACTCGGTGAACTGCAGGGTTTTGCTCTTGCGGATGTTGTTGCTTGGTTTTATATGAAAGTCAAACAGTCATGCATCAAACCCCTTTCATATAAATCCATGATAACAAGTACATTGTGGTTGTTTTCTAGATCTAGACTTAGACTATTGATTTAATTAAGTAAAGTGTATGGGTGTATGTCCTCTTAGAGCTTCCGTAGATTAAAACCAAAAAGTCACACAGAAACAAAAACTAAAAGAGGCAAATGTACAACAACAACAACAACAACAACTCCCCCATTCTACAAGGTAAAAACATTTTTTTTATGGGGTCATAAAAATCAGAATGATGTCATCACCTTTAACTGGTTTCATTCAGGCACAGAAGTCCTGCGGGGAATTTCAATAAATGTTTGAGCTGTTAATCATTTACACACCGCGCCATATAATCACATTAAAAAAAAAAAAAAAAAGGAGTCAACCCAGGTTAGACAGTACAGTCTCCTGAAATATCAGGCAATTAAGAGGTTAACACAGTGACAGTGTGGAGGAGAAGTAGAAAACCAGCCTCGACATGAAGGCAGTTGTTGCGCAAAACATCGCGGTCCAACGTTTCCTAAAAGTTTCCAGATGTGGAGCAGAGAGCTGATGAGTCCTGCGGCTCACTGTGAACATTTCACTCCAGATATTCTTAAACTTTAACAAGAGTTACGTCCAGAGAACAACATTAACAACTTAGTGTGTGTGTGTGTGTGTGTGTGTGTGTGTGTGTGTTTGAGAAAAGGTAGACGATAAGGTTGTTGGAGGTATCGCCTCCCGGGCTGCAGCTCAGCTCCCTCCTCCCGGCTGAGGGAGGATCCAGGACGGCTGCCAGCTGGTGACAGAAGCAATGATCCACTGACACACACACAGATACACACACACACTCACTCAGAGACACACACACACACACACAGCCAGCAGAGAGACACGCAGAACGAAAAGACAGTAAACTCAACGCAGACATGGCTCAGGTAAGAAATAACGCACACATTATCCCGCTGTTAGTGAGGAAACATTACCTGAGGGACAGCTGGGCGAAGTTTGGGAACTTTTAAAAAAACTTTTACACTTTTTTTACACTACACCGAAGCTAATCCTTAAAAACTCTTGTGATGTGGGAAGTTTGTTCAAAGTGAAATATTAACGCGGATTGAGATCAGAAGTGGGGGTTTTTTTAACATGGTGACAGGCTGGGAGCGTCCAGAGTCATTACAGGACGGTTTCCTGCTGCAGGCGCGCCATCTCACGCAGGCGGAAAAAAATGCGTCTGAGGAGAAACTTCCAGCGGACAACAAGACTTTAACTGTTTCTGTGTTACTTAACAGACATTTGACATCCAAAAAAAAAATCCAGACTCCTACAGATCACTCTGATTCCCTTTTTCTTTTTCTTTTTCTTTTTCCAAACTTCTAACTC